TGACACTGTCTAACCATCTCATCCTTTGCCGTCCCCGTCTTCTTTGACCTTCAATCTTTCCCAGCATCAGGGTTTTCTCCAGTGAGTGCAAACATGTCTTTCAAATGCCGGGAAAGATGCCTGGCTTTAAAGTTTGATGCGAACGTATCAAGCAAGCTAGTACTGTGAAAGGGTCATTATGGCTCCTGATTCTGCCACTTTCTCCAGATACTTGGTGACATATCTCTGCAGGTCTGCTATTGGTTCACTGACTTCAGCCTTTGAGAAGTTCCTGGTGGTGATGCACTGTGCTAAAACTGATGCTGCTTTTGGAAGAGCAGTTCTTCAGAGCCTGTTTCTTCAAGACGACCTGCAGATAACATCAGGTACATGGCTCCCTAGTCATCAAATCACCGCAGACTGTGACTGCAGCCATGAAATTAAAAGACGCCTGCTCCTTGGGAGGAAAGCGATGGCGAACCTAAACAGCATGATAAAAAGTAGAGACATCACCCTGCCAACAAAAGTCCGCATGGTCAAAGCAATGGTATTCCCAGTAGTCATGTATGGCTGTGAGAGTTGGACTATAAGGAAGGCCGAGCGCCGAAGAATAGATTCTTTTGAACTATGGTGCTGGAGGAGACTCTTGAGAGTCCCTTGGACTGCAAGAAGAACAAATCAGTCAATCCTCAAAGAAATCAACCCTGACTGTTCCCTGGAAGGCCAGATAATGAAACTGAAGCTCAAATACTTTGGCCACCAAATGAGAAGGGAGCACTCACTGGAGAAGACCCTGATGCTTGGAAAGATTGAAGGTCAAAGAAGACGGGGACGGCAAAGGATGAGATGGTTAGACAGTGTCATCGATGCAACGAACATGAAGTTGAGCCAACTTCAGAGGACGGCAGAAGACCGGAAGGCCTGGAGAGAGCTCGTCCATGGGGTCGCGAAGAGTCGGACTCGACTGTGCGACTGAACAACAACAAAAATCATGTCCCATCCCCCCTTAGTCCTCTCTTTTCTAAAATGAAAAACCCCAGACTCTTCAGCCTTTCCTCACAGGGAAGGGGCTCCGACCAAGGTGCTTCAGAAGAAGAAAAGCTGGTTTTTACACCCCACTTTCCGCTATCTGAAAGAGTCTCAAAGTGGCTTACAATCGCCCGTCCTTCCTCTCCCCACAAAAGGCTGAGAGAGTTCTGAGAGAACGGTGACTGGCCCAAGGTCACCCAGCAGGTTTAATGTGGAGGAGGAGTGGGGAATCAAACAGTATTCACCGCTCTTAACCGCCCCGCCACACTGGCTCTTCAGAAATTAGATAATTCATCATGTGCATTGACAGGACTGCATGAATTATGACTTTTTATCACCGATTCCTTGGTCTGGGACAGCTACAGACCAATTATCCTTCAAACCACTAAACTCCTCTTCAAATAACTTTTAAAAATGTTATTGCATCACTACATGCATACTCTGTCACAACAGCTCAGCCTTTCTCCTCAAAGATAGTGCTTCTGCCTGGTATTTTGCACAAAGACAAAATAATCAGGATTACTGTGGTTTTTTCAAGACTAAAAACTTTACTCCAGTATAAACTATTGACAACTCAAGCCCACTTCTTTAGAATGAAATGAATGCAGACTAACTTATCGCATACCTAAACTGATGGAATAGACATCATTAGACGCAAGATCTGCACCGATTTTGAAGCCCTGGGGGATATTTTTTTCTGGAGGGGTGGGACCAGAAAATTCTTTATCAAACTTAAACTATTTCACTACTTCAGTAGCCTGAAATGTTCAACTTAGCCGGCATATAAAATTATTCCACTGCTTCAATAGCCTGAAGTGTATAACACAGCACAATTTTCTATGCTGGCTATACAGCATATGTATGGAATTCAGAAGTATAAGTGCTTCTATCTTCAGCAAGCAAAACTGTTAGTACTGCACTGTACGCTCCTTCTGTGTGTGTATCTTGCATTTCGCCGAGCTACAAATAAAAATGGAAACGAACGAACAGCCCATACAGTAAACAAAGTGTATTATTTGGACAGAAAGTCTCAGTTATGATATAATTATCTGCAAAGGCAGATAACGAGTTAAATTTTGTAAGATAACCAGCACCGATGTCTTCAACACTACATTATCATACAGATTACTCAAGGGCAAAACTAGTTCCATTTAAGTAAGGAACATAACTTTGAAAATATGTTGTGTCTACAGTACGAACAGAATTCACTATTATCTATTCCTGTAAACCAGGGGTGTCAGACTTAAGGCCCGCGGGCCAGAAGTGGCCCGCCTGTGGCTTTAATCAGGCCCCTGGCTCTTTTCTTCTCCCCCTCCTGTCCTCACCCTTTGAAGCTTGAGGCTGCAAATTTCCCAACTCCCTCCTTCTTGTCTTTGCCTCCTTCAGC